GGTCTTATGAACATATATTTAAAGCAACATACTAGTTGCTTTTGTATTGATGCAGCCTAGAATACTGCTCTCGAGTGTCTAGACAAGAAAGATAAGCTTAAAGTTTATAAGAGGAGCCACAAAAGGGTAAATTAGTTATTGAGTCTATCATTTTATGTCTTTTATTTATTTCTTGAGTATTTTTATTTGCTAAAGGGCATAAGTAGTAATTTGTAGAGGCTTTATTTTTTTTATTTACTTAAAGCCTTTGATAATTAATGGTGATGATTAGCTTAGTTGGATGGCTAGGATTAGTTCTCATTTAGGGTTTTCTTATAATGGATATGTGCTCAAGCATAATGAAGGATCATGTAATGGATTTTTATTCAAAACCCTAGAGTTGCAAATGTTCCTTTTTTATCTCTAGTTTTTTGAATCTTTCTCTCATTTTCGATCTTTGTTATCTTCTTCATTGCTAAACCCTAGCTCCAAGCTACTAGGTTTGTGCCAGGATGACAAGGATGGTACTGTAGCATGGAACTGTAGCACATTACTGCAGCATCAATTTTTGTGCCTTAGATCAACAACCATGTCTCCACATAGAGTAAAATGAGGAAAAGCAATAACCATAGTAGCATTTGATGCCAGTTCGCTAGAAGAGATTGCAGAGCTATGGAGATTAGTCGAAACCCTAGCTCTGCGTTTGGTATAGATGGAAGCCCTACCTCAAGAGGATGAGATCAAGGCAGATGAGGAATCCATAAATCCCTTCCCTGATCAAGCTCCAAGGAGAGGTAGTTGAACATACGGATAGGGATGGTAGGAGGTGGGAAACATGGTTCAAGGTTGAGATCCTTGAATGTTATGGAAATCTATCCTAGGACAACCATGGGGAAACTTTGTTCTCACTAAATGGATCTCAAAATCAGCATGTTGTGGACTCACTGCTAGTCTTTGACAAGTACCTAGAGTAAAATTTGGGTGTTGAGAAAGAAGCATGTGATCATAGTTCAATGATGATCCAACCGTAGAAAGGATCAAGAAGAAGATCCTACCATTGGAGAGGAATTTGTGGATGCTCCTATTTTTGATGATCAAGGAGTTGTTCCCAAAATATTGGAGATAACAGGTTTCTTACTCCCCATAGAAAGTAGTAAGGAGAATGGTGTTGACAGAGGTAATGATGACTATGCTCTTCTTCTTGGAGTTTTACCTGAATATGGAGTATCATGTGAGGTGTTCCCCAATGGTTTTTTGATTTTTTCCTATGAGCTTTTTGCTATTGAGTTCGATATAGAAGGTAGCCATTGAATGGGTGCTTATGTGATTCCTGATGTTAGTGTTTAACTTCAACCATTATTTTGTTTTGCGTGGATAACTATTATATTTAATTACTATGTGCGAATTGAAGGAAGTCACAGGGGTAATACATCATTAATTTTCAGCCGTTTCAAAATTCATGGTAGAGTTTTCTCTGATGTGTTCAGGACCAAGTGCGTTGTGCTCATGCATGACAAATATTGGCATTTCGTAATGGGCCCAAAATGTGGTTAATCCAATGTCTATGGGAAATGCGATAAAATGACACATCTTGATCTCAAGTCTCGTCATGGTAGGATTGTTCGCAATTTTGAAGAAGATCAATGACAATGCCTATTAGTTAAAGCTATCAAGCTATATTCATGCATATGATGCTTTTAATATCAAACATCTCATTCCATATCATGGTGATACCTTAGATGACAAGCCGCTGAATTCAAGGACAAATTCTTTTGAGGAATGGGGGACTGATGCAGCCTAGAATGCTGCTTTCGAGTATTTAGACTAGAGAGATAACCTTAAAGTTTACAGGGGAGCCTACGAAAAGGCAAATTAGGCATTGATTCTATCCTTTTATTTATTTATTTTTATTTTTTGTCTTTTATTCACTTAGGGGCATAAGTAGTAATTTCTAGAGTCTTTTGCATCTATTTTATTCACTTAAAGTTTTTTATAATGAATGACCATGATTAGATTAGTTGGATGGCCAAGATTAAGACTCATTATAATTTTTATATATAAGATCTGTAGTCAAGCATAATGAAGGATCACATTATGGACTGTTATTCCAAAACCTAGACAACAAGTGCTGCTTCTTTTAGCTTTGGTTTTTGAACCTTTTTCTAATTTTGGATCTTCCTTATCTTTTTCTTTGCTAAACCCTAGCTCCAAGCTACTAGGTCTGCGCCACGTATCGTGGTCCTGGGTTTCCATCATATTTACTAATAACAGTCAACAGTCGAATGGTTACGCCTTCCACCTATATGGTACATTATACAACTATTCCCATGAATGGAACGCCCATTATTATTGTTAGGTGGAGGTAGGATGCCATGCCCAGTGAAATTTCCATAAAACCCACCTCAACCATGATGGCCATGCCCTCAATTATTTCTTCCTCTACCTGTACCTCCACAAAAACCATTCCAAGGAGATGAATACTTTTTTGATAAACAAAACATCGTAAGAATCCACACTTGGTTGTTGTGTTGTCCTTTTATTAGGTAACATAGTTTCATGTTGAAGAGGTAAAGGACATAACCCAAAAGTGGGATATGGTGGTCTAGAGGTAACACTAGTAACAAAAGTCTCATATTGATCTCCAAGACCCTTCAAAGAAATGTATACTTCGTTAGTATCACTAATGAGATTCTGAATCATAGCCAGCTGATTACATATTCCTTTGATTTTGGCTATTAGTTGGTTATGGATTTATCTTCTTTTTGCAACTTAAAAGTTCTTGTCTCAAGTGCATTAGACTAGCCTGCGATTGCTGGGTATATGAGTTTTGTAATTCCTACCAGGGATTCTTTAGCAGTGTCTATATCAGGTACTTGTTCCAATATATCTTCTGACAATGTAGAATTAATCCACCCAATTAGTTGTTGATCCTTGACAAGCGAATCATCATATTCAGGGTTAAGGCTTTAAACTTTTTCTATCTTTCCTTCTGTACTCACTTCCTCTTTGGTGATGAACTACGGTGGTGCCTTGCACAATCCATCAATGTGACCCTCAATCGTATACTTTGACGAAAGGAATTATAACTTCAATACAATGAAGTTCGAAGAAAAAAGTTTGATGGTAAACTTGGGGAAAGGAATATGGAGGGGGGCTAGAATATTCTCTGGGATCAAATGAGTAGACAATAGTGGAAATAAGTTTTTTAAAAAAAAATGAAAAGGAGTTCTGTTCAAGCATGAACAATAACTGTGGTTTACTGTTCACATCAAAATATAGAATTTAGGGTAAGAAGAGATTTAGAGAGAAGAGATTGAGGGTTGAGAGTTCTAGGGTTTTACACCTAAGATTTCACACCAAAGGAACATAAGAGATTTAATGTGAAGAAGAGATTTAAGGTAAATAATTTAGGGTAAAGAAGAGATTTAGAGAGAGGAAATTGTTTAGGGTTAAGAGAGAGCTATTATCCAAGTCAAGGGGATATATCTAGGGTTTCATGCCAATATTGACTAACATGATCAATCTAAATAATGACTGACAAAGAAAGAGATAAAAGAAAGATTTTGATACCTTTGATCAATGGTTCACATTAATGGTTGAACTTTGCTTTGATACCATGTGAAATTATCGCCTCAAATACTTCAGAGAAAAAGAGACAAGTTGTGGAACATGAAGAGATGGATGGAGAGGAAACCAAAAGAAAAGTGACGTGAGCCTATAATTCCTTCATGAGTGAGGGGCTTCACTGTATGATATATATTTATAATGTTTCTGACCGTAATTAATTGAGGGTAGATAACAATACAAAAATCAAGAAATCACATATTTGTCCTTTACATTGATCTTAAACTAAAAATACAAGGATAAGTTACAGTAAAATACAAAATTATCTATATGCTCCTAACCAATTATGACTAACAATGGCAAGCTGAATAGGTCAAGATTGATGCACAATGGCAGGGGCTGAGGAAGGAGAACACTGCTAGGTTTTCTTGTTGGTGGGATGTTTGAATACCCAATGGGTATGTTTTAACAAGAAAACACTGTTAGTAAGTGGTTTGTGAGAAACCACTTTGGATTTGATGGAGAGGTGAAAGAGGAAGATGCCCCTCCTGACATTTTGTAGCACGTGATTGTAAAACCTTGGATGGATTTATTGAAACTGCACAAAAGAAGTGGGTAAAACATTAAATAGTTGAAACTATGGGTGCAACTTGATAAATTTCCCTTGATAAAAATTTGAATTTTTTAAACATCCATTAATTATTTATAATATTATATGGACTGCACTCTCGACCTAGAAAATTTAGTTAACTACATGCAAGGACCTCGATTTTTAACCAGATGGAACTCAGATGGGTAGAACTTATTGTTCGATCCCTAGAAATTGTTATCGAACTCACCAGCCTATTGGGATCTCGATCCCCTTACCTAAGGATCTTCTAGCCGTCCATGATATTTTGCTCTCAATCCGATCCCAGAATTGGTCTCAATTGCAATCCTAGTAACTATGTGTAAAAGTCCAGGATCCATGTCTCTATTGCCGAAGAAAAGTGAATAGGGGGAATCTTGGATAGGAAAATGTGTTGTTATGGATTAAACCCATTTATATACATTGTACAAAGGCCAATTACCAAAGTTCTCTTGAGGGTGACAAGGAGTTGGCCTTTACATATATGAAAGGACAAAAGTCATATCTGTTAGGGTATATGGTGCAGCACACTTCAACTTTATGCTGCTGTTTTTTTTTTTCCATTTAACTTTTTATATCTGTTTCTATAAATTGAAAAATTGTGCCTTCTGGTCTATAAAAACTTCATACGTATATCTTGATTAAAATATTGATTATGTGAGGTTTCCTTGTATTATATTTCTTAATTTTCAATGCTTTGACCTATATGAGTAGTCATTGTCCTGTTTGCTTTCTGTGAGTTCTTTACCTCTACTCGTTGATCAATATATTGATTTCCTTGAAGCTTATCTTTGCAAGTTCAATGATGTTTCCTTACTAATGTGAACAGGCTCTAGATTCCCTTAACAAAGAATGCAATGAGCCGGCATTTTTTCTCCCACTTTTTTGTGGGATTTCCAGAGGTACTCTTTTGATGTTATTTGAACCTAGCGTCTAAATTTCCTTAGACAATCCATTGTGTTTTAATGCATCATTTCCTTTTGAGTCCACTTTGTTTGTGAAGTATTCTTTTTTACAAAGTTTATGGATGTATTCATTGGAAAATGTTTTCGTGTAGCCTGGCTGCACCAGATAACATGTAGCCTCACCTAAATCTCTAGTTCTTTGAATGGGTGAGGGCTCAAAAAACTCCAAAATCATCCTTATCCCCTCCAAAAACAATCTTCTGGAAAAAAAGAAAAAATCACTTCGAACTCTAAAACTGCTCTATCTCCACCCCCATCCCAAAATTAGATCTGAACCATACATTACAATGGACGGTAGGTCTAGGATTTTGGAGCCTTTTAGGAAGTCTATTTCTTTTATTATTATTGTTATTATTATTATTATTATTATTATTATTATATTATTATTATTATTATTATTATTATTATTATTATTATTATTATTTTTAATTGTGAATGGTTGCAGGTACTTTCAGATCCCTGAAAATGAAAATTGGTGATTAGGCTGCAACTACATGGGTTTATAAGCACACCCTTATTAGTTTATTAGTTTACTTCATGCATAAACGTCTTGTGGGGTAATGCAACAAACTTTATAATGGTTTAGCTGTTGAGATTATTGACCTCATTTTTTGCATATGTATTTTAATTGCTAACAATAAAAGGGCAAAAAAAATCAGTTCATTTAGCATATGAAGTCACATTTTCCATGAAGTGGTGCAACAAATAACAAAGAAAGAGGAAGATGATGAAGAAGAGGGGCAATTAGTATTGTTATTATTTTGTGTGTGCATATGGAACGAAGTGTGCTTTATTGGTACAATGAACTTCTTTCCAGATATGGGTATGCATCTTTGAACTTTCATGTCGCTTGAATGCTTCTTTGATCATTGGGAGGTCATAGGTTCTTTACGGGGCAGAACCTGAGGTACATTATTAGGGCATGGTATCGTCTCTGCCCTAGAAATGATACTTTGGAAGGAGATACTTTGGAAGGAGATATGTCAAAAGAAATAACATTATTGAAGTAGAATAATTCCTAGAGGAATTAATAGTTGAAATTAAAGAAGAGAAGAGAACAGTTAGATACGTTCTAAAGAGAGAAAGAGAGGAAAGAAAATAAAGAAAAAGAGGAGAGAGAGAGAGGCGTGTGAAAGAGAGAGAGAGAGAGAGAGTGGCATGGTGCTCTATTGTGACTCCACACCTCTTAGTTATATTAAATTGTAACTTAATTACAGACTATGGACAGTGCTGCCCGTACTTAGAGAAATAAGACAGAAAAGTCCTAAACAAACATAAAAGACAGTTCTGCCCATCAAATACAATAAAGCTTAATTCTTTTATTCCCAACACTCCCCCTTAAGCTGGTGCATATATATCTATCATTCCTAGCTTGCTTGTGATATTATGTAATCTGTCTCGCCCAACAACTTTGGTGAAGATATCTGCAAGTTGATCTTTAGACTTCACATGAGGAGTCTGAATGATCTTGGAAGCAACCTTCTCTATGTTGAAGTGACAATCTACTTCAATGTGTTTAGGCCTTTCAAGAAATATAGGATTTTCCTTGATATGAATGGCTGCTTCATTATCACAATATAGAGTCATGGGAAGCTTACTCTAACCCCCAAGTCCAAAGGAACACGTTTACGTCACATGTACCATGAGCCATTGCCCTGTATTTTGCTTCAGCAGTTGATCTTGCCATCATATCTTATTTCTTGCTTTTCCAAGTAACCAAGTTTCCCAAAATGAAGGTACAATAGCTAGTTGTGGATCTTCAATCAGTTTGGCAACCAGTCCAATCAACATCAGTGTAAACTGCAACGTCAAGATGCCCTTGATTGGAGAAAAATATTCATTTTTCTGGTGTAGACTTGAGATATCTTAATATTTTGTATGCTGCATCAGGGTGTGGTTTACGTGGTGCATGCATAAATTTGGCTGACCACGCTAACTGCATAAGAGATGTTTGGTTGAGTGATCGTGAGGTGTATAAGCTTGCTCACTATTCATCGATACTAATTAGGATCTTTGAGTAGGGTGAGCTACATCTATATAGGAGAAGCATATGGCATACTCTGGGAATTTACAAGCTCATAACTTACCCCAACTATGCACTTCTCAGTAGGCTTGCCCTGCAAAACCACTCTTAATGCACCAAGAGAAGGATGCTATGTAAGCACCCTGGCCCTTCTAGAGACCATAACAGCCTCTCCGGACACACTTTGCTTAAACAACACACTTTGATCAACCTATTGTTGGTGATTTATTGTATCGCTTATGATTCCCGAGACTTAAGAGGACCACAAGAGGTTCTTGTCTTACTAATGAGTTGTGACCTCCTAGCATAGCAACTCCAAGGGTTGCCTATTGCACTCTTTATGAATGCTAAAATAATTGTTCATTAATCTTCTTTTATTGTTGCTATCAGCGATTGAAAAGTTCTCAGTCCGACTTGGTGATTATCTGAGTTGGATTGGATTGAGAGCCAGGCTATTTGGTGTTAAAGAACCTCTGAACCACCCGAGTTTCCCATTTTTTTAATATATATATAAATAAATAAATACATATAAATAAAAAAAAAATATGTATATATATATAAATAAATATATATGTATATGTTATATATAAAAATTATGATAAATATGTATGTATATATATATATGTTATATATAAAAATTATGATAAATATGTATGTATATATATATATATATATATATATATAAATAAATAATAAAAAAAAGTTCCACTGGTCCGACTCAAACTTGCCCGAGACAAACTAGGTGACTTGGGATTAGGAACCTAGAGAGTCCCTACCTGAGTCCGCCTTTTTTATCACTGGTTACGAGTCATTTATTTAAATGACGCATAGATTTGTCGATATCCCTTTCTACCAATTGCTACTATACTTTAAGAAAATGGTTGACACAAATGTGGTATCTGGGTTTGTTAGGATTCAAGTTACCATGCAGAAATCAAATTGTTTTTTTGATATTGGTCTTTCAGTGCAAGGAAGCAAGAATGTGTATTTTACTGTGGAGCATGCAACTCTTTGCCTACATTTATGGCAATAAAACCCTGTCTGTAAACAATAAAAATCTTCTCTACAAATTCTGATTCGATGTTGGACTTGTTTAATAGTCCTTCTAATGAAAAACCATAAGGTTTATAAACAAGTGCCGATATTTAAATTTATAATTCCTTGTTGTATTGTACTTATCACATATATGCTTGTGTTAGCTTTTGGTCTCCAGGCCCTTATATTAGTTTTATTCAGTAATTATTCGTTATATATGTTTCCCTAGCAGTTTTCTGTTGTATTCAAAGGCGCCACTTGGAGCAGATAAAACGAGCACTGCCTGCAATATTCTCTGTTTTGGAGTCTGCAACTTCCAAGTTAGGAGATGAAGTCAAGTATTCTTTGGAAGATTTGATGCAGAGAACGATGTCTATTGTGTTCTCTGTGCAAGAAGTTTGCAAAAATTCAGTTTGTGACATGCTTTTGGAAGGAAATTCTTTACCATCTATGTTTGGTTAGTTATAATGTTATCATATATTTTCCCTCACTTTTTTTTTTTGGTGGTCTTTTACAGGAGGGATGGAACAAAGAACAGCTTACTGCTTTACTTGGTGCTTGTGTGTTAGAACTTATGGTTGGCATTCTACCTTACATGGATTTGGCTTAGTGATGGTGGCATTGATTTTCTCCTGAGTTTCACCATTTTGAAGAACTTCTAATGGAAGCCTTTTGTCTTTTTCATCATTCCCTAGAATTGCCCTTGAATAACCTGCATCTTGCTTTGTTTTGGCTATCAGGCTATTATTTGCAGGGTCAGTGTTGCAGATGAATTTTCACGGGTATTTCCTTTTGTGTCACAACTGTCAGAGATCATTTCTTCTTGTAGATTATCATATCTTGGCCTATTAACTGGAAGTGAGTTTGATGCAATTGCCAACTTGACATTGAATGGTAAGTTTGAGCTTATCCTTCCGTATTTGGATCATTCTACCGACCAGGAATATGTGTTTGCAAATGAGTACCCTACATTCTGACTTATAATAACTTTTTTAGGTGTCATTGTTAAAATTTCTGAAATGCTAAAATAGTCCTTGACAGAAGTTAAATGTCCAAACTACCCCATCCAAATGATTGTGAATAGACAGTATACTCAGCTTCACCCTCCAGGTCAGTTGACTTTGCTTGTTTGTCCAGGGTCTTGGACTGTTCTTAGTAGGTGTCTCCATCAATTGCTCTGTCGAAGGAATATGTAATGTCTGGCTATCACCTGGCCTAGCCCTTTCATTATCGATGTTCTTAATCCTCACAAAAGATAAAGCAATGACTTATTAAATAGAAGAACCTCTGAAGAAAGTTCATAAGAGTGTGAAAACTTATTCACTAACCCTAATCAAGATATATAAAAGACAATGCAGTAAAACAATGGCATGTCAATGTGCACAAAACACGAAGCTATTATAGATCCGATATAGTTGATACTGTATATAACCAAGTCCAAGTGACAAACACTTTAAAATTTTTATACTTTGAAAATACGTGGACCTTATATCAAATATGACAATTATATACAATTTCCAACCACCAAACTTGGCTTCTCATACACTTAAAAGAAAAATTACAACTCTATAGGTCCCTTGACAAAGTCCAAACGCAAAATACTTGAAAGGAGATTGTAAATATACATGACAAATACTCAAGTGCTACAAAATACAACGCTACACAATTCCATTGCCAAATTATACATCACATTGAAATTACATCAAACACCTCAAATGCTGTGTCCTTCTCGACCAAAACAAACACTTACAAGTGCACATTAGATTTGATCATGGGAAGCCAAATAAGCGAGCTATTCTGCTAGTTTACGGCCAAGGTCTTAGCTACATATCATGGAATGACTACTCGGATGCCACCAAGATCTAGGCCAATTTCACATCATCTCAATGGGAAACAATTATCATTTAAACTACATCTTGTGGTAGAAAACAACATAACAGAGGCTCAAGAATTTGGATCCATAATGTGGGAAAAACCATATGAGAAAAGCTGCTCAAATGACTATCAATTTGGTGAAGAATTTAGTAGTATGGTCATGGGAAAAATTTGGCATAGTTTCCCATTAAATTTTTGCCAAATTAAATTATCGAGGGGGTGATTTAATTGACTGATTTGGTTAAAAAATATTAGAGAAATCATCACAAGATTTAAAAAATTCTCAATCAAAATCTCTCCAAAATGAGCTCAAACAACTAGGAATCAATGGCTCGTACCCTATGATGAATTTGAACTCAAGTACTCGTGAAACAAGGAGGCGAGGTGTTATGATACCTTGCTATAAATGGAGAATTACCGCCAACTTTGGTGAATAATTCCCCCAAAATGAATAACTAAGGAACTAGGATATCACCTCCAAGCTTAAGATGGAGCTTTAATGCAGCTTCAAACTTACTTTCTCTCACTTAATTCTCACACTTTTCTCCTTTATTTCTCACACAAGAATGTTCTCACAAATGAAGAGGGAGAACAAGGAAAATCATAAGGGGGTTTACCATTCTCTTCTTCTTTTCTTTCTCACTTAAAAACTTAATGTGGTGTAGAGAGAGAGCCAAAATGGGTGGTGTTTCACTTAGAGAGAGAGAGTCAAATGGTGACTTGGCACTTATGAGAGAGAATTCTACACATGAGTGAGCAAGATGTCTTTTTATAAGCTTGAGTAGTAGATGCTTCTAGATGAGTTAATTTTGGCAATTGAACAAGTTATCCATGGTATGAGAGAGGGCTCGATCCTAGCCACTCATCACTCATCATTCCATCTTGATTAATAGATGAGATTTAACACCATTATCCTCCTAATAAACCTTAAAATCATTGCAAATTTCCCATCATTAATCTTGAACTCAAATTCATACCAAATTCGATTTGCTTCCATAATTGCCCATGTTAACTCACTCAATTAAAATGAGAATATATAGGTATAGGTTATTCCTCAAGCAATTAGGCAAGCCTTCTAGAAGCAATTTGAATTTGAAGTTTTCCTCCAATTTCATGTGACTTTGGTGTGCACGGGTATCCAGTTAAATTATGTCACATAGGATAGGCAGTTATATGCATAATTCCATATGGACTTAAGGTTTCAGTTATAATATCCAACCCTATACCCTTGGGAGATCTCCCTATGTGCATATAATCAACAATCCCACGCAATAAACATGTGCTCAAATGTATTCTTCAATTTCTCAAAAATTCACTTGAAATTACACTATGAAGCACTTTATGACAAATAAACAAAAGACAAAAGGGTCAACCATGATGGTCCCCACGTCATCTTTATGAAGGCTTGGCGTGGACCCCTTCCCACGTGGCACCCATTAGCCATTTGGATGTCTTGTGTGGATTATAAACTCAAAAAAATCCAGAAATTTTTTAAAAATCCCCAAAAATCCTCCAAAGCATTTTCCATCATATTCACACCATTTGGCATCATATTCATTCTTTATGAGATAGAACATTGGGGCGGTCAAGAAATAATATGTCCATAGGATGAGTGTAGATGAGATAAGGATGTTGAGATGGATGAGTGACAAGACAAGAAAAGGATAGAATTCAGAAGGAATACATGTGAGGAAACTTAGGTGTCGTTTCAACAGGCTGTAAGATGGAGTAGACTTAGGTGGGCTAGCCATGTGTAGCGTAGACCTAATACAACATTGGTTAGGAGGTGTGATTTGGTTTAAGTGGAAGGCTCTAAAAGAGAAAGGGGAAGGCCTAAAAGGCTATAAATAGAAGTAATGAGAAAAGTTATGGGACTTTTGGTCTTACTGAGGGTATGACCCTTGATAGAGAAGAATGGATGAACCTGATTCATGTAGCTAACCCCAAATAATTGGGATAAGGCTTGGATGATGATAATGATTATGATAATAATATAATTATCAATGAGGGAAATTAGGATCCTAAGAGATGAAGTGGCATCCGAATACTCCACTCAGCTTGACTTGGAATCCAAAGTGACCTTCTCAGAATGACCCAACAAACCTATGACCCCAAGTATCTGGTAGGAGCTCATGCTTGGTTTATCAAAGTCAATCCAATTTGTGGCTTGGGACCCTCAGGTTGTAGTGGATTATAGGTGCACCCTTAAGGACATGCACTCTTGTGGTTGCGAGGGTCCTCTCTTGGCACATGTGCATTTCTCTTTCAGATGGATCAACATGGAAGAGTGACTTCCCATTTGAGACTATATATGCACATGCCATGAGAAGGTTCGAGGTCAGGGATTTAGGCTTATGTCTTCTCAAAGCCTTAGTTTTCTCATACAAAGCAATAATTACACCAAATACTTGAACGCATATCACCATAATTCTATCACAACCAATCTTAGCCAACATGGCATCAATTAATCCGACCTTGACTAGAGGTAACCCTCAACTCTCGTGGTGCCTCACACACATACACACACACACACACATACATACACACAACCGGCCTCATGACACTTGGGGTTATGTGACTCTTGGTCCCAATGCGTCAAGACTCTAGTCTAGAGTTACATCGACGATATCGCTCTAGTTCACTCCCACTGTAATCAAGAGCTATGAACATGTTGGGTTCAAGGCCTTGAAATACCATAACTCGAACAATAATACACTGCATATCCTCAACAATATATGTAATTACCTCTTTACCTGTAAACTATATGTCCCTGGCTTTCAAATTTCAGTTGTCTCCTCAACATTATAAATGTTAAATTAATTTTCACTCCAAAATTGTTAGTTGTTCTTTAGGACTTGTTGATTTCTATATGGTATTAGGGCAGGCAGAATCTGCAATGTTTAAATTCACAATTGAACAAAGTAATTGAAACAAGTAAAACTAAAATCAGTTTTCAAGTTAGGAAGTCGAGATCAACATCAGTTCAAGTAGCAAAAACCAGATTTTTATCAAGGGTGATAAATTGCATTATCTGCTGTTTTATGACATCAAAATGTAAGTTGAAAAATTTCTCACGAGGTTTGTGCCATGTCTACATCACAATCATTTCAAAGGAGATGAATAACACCATCCCAGCTCAAACTGCAGAAAATTCAAGGTTTCTATCAACAGGACTTAACATCCTTTGTGATTCTTAAAACGATTAAACCTTTTTGGTCATCCGAAAATCACATACTTATCCTTCTTTTGTCCAGAATTTTGTATATGTATATGTCCATATATTATAAATGAAATACTTAGATTCATTGATAAAAAGTAGAAAAACAACCAAATCTATAATCTATTTTGAAGCTGAAAAATTTCCACTAGGTTCATATTCTCCTTCCAATGTCTTCTAGAAAACATGCTTTTCGGGCTAACAGAAAACAAAGTGAAAGCAATGATTAGAGGTATTTATGTCATTTAAACTTGGAATCTGAGGGATTCTTTGTTTTCAGCTGTTGTTGAGCACTACTGGTTTGCATATTTTCTTTGCTTATATTGCTCTTGCACTCGATTTACATAGAGCAAGTTCGTTCTTGTGGCGCTTCGCTTTTCCTTTTCCTCTTTGAGCACTTTATACATCTGATTGATGGCTGCGAAGGGTGCATGTGAGAATCGTGGCCCAAGGGGTAGGAATGCGGTGAATGCCGTGACTGTTGAGATGTTACAAGGGATGCAAGAACAGATCCAGCAACTTACCCAGTTGGTTATGGCTGTGATGGGCAATGATCATGAAAATGGAAGTGAGAGAGGCTTTGGTCGAGTTTGGGGGGTAACGAATAATTTGGATCATCTTGCTCAAAGAGAAAATGAGAGCTCTAGCCATGAAAGTTGGGCAGAAACTGATGGGTCTAATGGGCGGGATGTGAGAGCACAATGATGGGAAGATCGCATTGTAAGTGCTTTACAAAATAACGAAGAGTATGGTGTTCATGTTCAAATTGCAGAGTTTGATGGGGAAATGGAGGCTGAAGAGTTTCTAGACTGGTTGAACAAGATCGTGAAATTAGGGGTAAGGGAAAGGTTAGAAGATGGGACAAGATGAAGGACAAATTGAAGGCTCAATTTTTGCCGTGGGACTATGAGCAAACTTTGCATCAAAAGGTACAAAATCTGTGTCAGCTGGAGAAGACTGTGAAGTACACTTAAGAATTCCATTGACTCACATTATGGAGTAATTTGGGGCGAGAGTGAACCCAAAGAGTCAGCCGGTATGTGAATGGTCTATGGTTGGCGAGAAGACTGTGAAGTACACTTAAGAACTCCATTGACTCACATTAAGGAGTAATTTGGGGCGAGAGTGAACCCAAAGAGTCAGCCGGTATGTGAATGGTCTATGGTTGGTGATACAAGATCAGATGGGACTGCATTGACTCTATAAAGTAAATGGTGCATATCAGCTTGTCTTAAAGGTGGAAGCCCAACTTACCCACCAAACCTCTTAGGAAGATGGGGAATAGTGCAACATCTAGCCGTGGAAGCAATGTCACTTCTGGTGGGCGGGTAGCAGCCCCCATATGTTCTAACAACCATGCAGATCCTAATAATGGTAGATGCGGTCAAGGTCAAGGCAATTTACAAGGGGGAATCAAATGCTTTAGGTGTTTGGAATTTGGGCTGCGGTCGAATGAGTGTCCAAGAAGGAGAAATGAAGGTCAAGCCAATCTAGCGGAAGACCATGATGTAGCAATTGAAGAGAACTTGGAACACAATGGAAGATGAAACTCAGCCTGGAGAAGTTCACGCGTCTCTTGATATTGAAGTGGAAGGACTTGAGGGCGGCATGGTTGGCGAAACGCTTGTCATCTGATGATCTATGTTGGCACCGCTGGTCAAAACAAGTGATGATTGACTTCATAAAAATATTTTTAGAACCCCCTGTACAGCTGGAGGAAAATTTTGAAAACTAATCATTGATAGTGGGAGTAATGAAAATATGGTGGTTCAAGAGATGGTAGACAAGCTCAAACTCAAGACTATGAAGAACCGACAACCTTATTGTATTCTTTGGTTCAACAAGGGAACGAGGTAACTGTATCTTCAAAATGCCTAGTAACTTTCTCAATTGAAACTTCCTTTGAAGAATCAATGTGGTGTGATTGGTCCCCATGGAGTCGTGCCACATCTTATTGGGTCGTCCTTACAATATGATCAGAGACTGGTTCATGGGGTTCCTTTGAAAAGAAAGGTTCCCTACTGGCACTTTGAAGAACAAGAAGGTAGGTCTATGCAAAGTACTACACAAGTTTGGAGAAACTTCTTATTAAATTGAGCTTCTCCAAGACCTAACGTGGCTGATCTTTATAGTTGTCTTGGTAAAATGGAGCTCGAAATGGAGTTCGTCAAAGGCGAGTTGCAAGATCAAATTCCGAGTACATCAAGAGAGAAAGTTGAAAGGGTGATTAAAGTCAGAGAAATCAAAACTCGAATTAGCACTTACTATCGATATCTTGTCAAGTGGGTGGGGAAACTTGATTCTAAATACTCATGGATAAATGCAGAGAAATTCATGGAGATAGATGCCAAGAATGTCAAGCTGCAAAAGGGAGGACTCTCATGGAGGCAAGTTCCTTTTAAGGGGTGTAGTATGATGCAAAAAAAATAAAAAAAAGGTTGGGTTGAAAACCCGATATGGCGGCCCAACATTCCTATTCTTTAGTTTCTTTTAAGTTGTTTAGTAGATGGGCGGGGGGGAAGGGGGGCGGTGCGGGGGGTGGGGTTTAGAATTTTTTGGGATTTTTGGTGGTTTATTATTGATTTAAGGGTTATGTCTGATACTATTTGAGACTCTTTTGGGATTTTAAAGGAGGCTAAAATTATACTTATTTTTAATTTCTATTCAATTTTAGAGGATGTATATTTTGATTTTAGTTTTAGGATTTTAAGTTTTTTTTGGGATTCCAAGGTTTTCTTATATTTTCTTTATTTACTATTCACGAGTACTATTCATGGTACTGTTTACATGTACTTTTCATGCGTTGCTATTCATGCGTTATTGTTCATAGGGGTATTTTTGGAATTTTAGTATTGGTTTAGGAGTGATTTAGAGTCTTAAATGTTTACTTGGATTTCAAGTTAAACTAGGATTTCATAGGCTTATAAAATGTTGGATGGCATATTTTAGGAGGCATATGTTATGAGAATGAATTTTATTTTATGAAAGAAGAAAGTTCTTATTTAGGCTTGATTTACAACTATTTTCTTTCTCCATTATTGATGATTTTACTTGTTTAAGGTTCAGGAAAAGGGTGGATTTAACTTCCTACCTTTTCCTTCCTGCATCAAGTGGTATCAAAGCATGGTTCGAGAACGGCATGAGATTGCGATGGCTTGTCGAGGAGGTCTTAACCATAGGGACACCAATCTGACCCAATTATGCATCAACAACTTGATGGAGAGGGTTACAGAGCTATTTCTGCGCAAGCGGGGCCAAACAACAAGATGCCTTAAATGAAGAGAAATCTACGTGGATAGATCCAATCGTAATGGTTTTTATGGAGAATGGCGCGAATAAGAGTCCGACTCAAAGTTGGAGTGAAATGATGAAGTTGCCTTCAATGACCCATTCTATGCATGCGCTCCGCATTGGGAGCCTCATGTTCAGGAGAATAAATCATGGAATTTAGTTGATCTAAATGATTTGAAGGAGAATGAGGTTGACTTTGGCGTTAAGTCATATAAAAAAAAAAATGTAGATTGAGATTTGCCACCAATTTTCAATACATATGTAGATGATGAACAAGATCTTGTAAGAAATCCAGTCTATGATGATGATCAAGATTATGTGGGTGAACCGATCTTTGACGAAGAAAAAGATGAAGATTTTAAGGATATCAAAGAGGTGGAACATTAAGGAGATCTTGGGCATTGGAATCAGAGTAGTGCAATGGAAGTGTGGTCAACTCATAATTTCCAAATTGTGGCCCTGATTTCAGAGAGTTATGAAATAGATGTTGAGAAAGCCTCTAAAGTACAGAAATTTAGATTTGGAGTTTCCTACGATTTTCAATGGGAGCTCAAGAATAGCTGAATTGGATAAATTTGTATCAATTCTTCAATATACATATTAGAATCCATTACTTATGGAATTTTTTTTACTACAAATAGTATTTGAGCTAACAAAGAAGAAGAAGGTTAAATAATGCAGTTTTGATGCTGAATTCATCTTAGCACATTTCAAAACTCGAGGACGAGTTTTCTCCAACTAGAGGAGAGTAATGGAGGGAAAAATTATACTTATTTTTAATTTCTAATCAATTTTAAAAGATGTATATTTTGATTTTAGATTTAGAGTTTTAAGTTTTTTTTGGGATTCTAAGGTTTTGTTATACTTTTTGTATTTACTATTCATGGTACTGTTCATGCATACTGTTTATGCGTTACTGTCCACAAGGGTATTTTTGTAATTTTAGTATTATTTTAGGGGTATTTTAGAGTTTTAATGTTTATTGGGATCTCAAGTTAAATTAGGGTTTCATAGGCTTATAAAAGGTTGGATATTATATTTTGGGAGGCATATGTTATGAGAATGAATTTTACTTTATGGAAGAAGAAAGTTCTTCCCTTGGCTTGATTTACAGCCATGTTCTTTTTCCATTATTGCCGATTTTACGTTTTTAAGGTTCAGGAAAAGGGTGAATTTAACTTCCCACCTTTTCCTTCTTATATTAGATTTACTTTTATGTGACGGATTATGTTGGATATTTGTCAATCTTTTAACTTTGGGTAAGATTTTAGGGTTGACATTAGATTGAATGAATGACTAGGATTTTGTAGGAACTCTTAGGTTTCTTTGGGTGTTTTAAGTACTAGTTCCATGGGAGAAAGAGGGACTTTTGGTTTTGGAGAAGATTTTTCTTAAGAGCAAGGCTCCCCACTAGCTAGGGCTTGTGAGACTGGATGTGAGGACGTAGAAGTTTGAAGCTCCAGGTCACTTCAATCACCTTGTTGCAGCTAATCGGTGCGCAAGGACCAATCATTCCTTTGATGAACTGCTGTACTCCTTTTTTCAGCAATGATTAGAGGTATTTATGTCATTTAAACTTTGAAACTGAGGAATTTTTGTTTTGGGATGTTGTCAAGCACTCATATTACAGGTTTGCTTATTTTCTTTGTTTATATTGCTCTTGCCAGTGTTTCAAAAAGCGCTAGGCGGGCGCCCAGAACCTGTGCGGCCCAGGTGAATCCAAAAAGGATACCCATTTGAATTGAAAAAGGATATATAGTATAAAAACTAAAAAATAGGTATTTAGGGCACTTACTTTGAGTTTGATTGCTCGATCTTCAAACTTCCACCTCAAAGATGCTTATAAGGTAAGGACTCAAAACAAAAAGAATTTTCGCCTCTGGGCAAGGCGCCCGTCTAGGCGGTTTCGTACCGCCTAGGCGAGGCGCAGGCCCTGGGCGCCCACCTTGGCAGGTTCCAGGGTCTGCCGCCCAGATTGGCCGGCCTTCTGGACCTCTTAGGCGCTAGGCGGTCCGCTTTTTGAATCACTGGCTCTTGCACTCAATTTACATCAGTTCTCTAGTACATGCAAGTCTCATTTACCGTCATTTAGGAATACAGTGAATAATAAGCTTATTTCTTCGATCGACTCTCCTTTTCTCTGTGGCCTTAATTTAATAAAATTTCTTAGTTCAGTCCATCAGGCACTAGTTTCTTCATTTACTCATCAACATGTACCTTTCCTGATGCTTATTTTTTAAGTTTGCAGAGGATGAGGATTTCATGAAGTGTTTTTCCCATGTGAGGCTTGGAGCTTCTCTAGCAGGTTTGTATTGCCTCCTTGCTAACATATTCTGAGTTTTTTTTCAGAATTTGGTCATTATAGAATCGGTGTTGATTCACTAACTATTGTTTAGAATGCCATGAATGTATTGTGTGTGCTCAGTCATATGGGGCTATATTTATGATGAAGTTGCAAAAGCTGCCGGTGAAGATTTTGGGAGTGTTAGGAACAGAATTCAAATTTGTCAAAGCGAAAGATGGAAAGCACTTTGCATATTCAGAGACTTGCTTTCCTCTTTGCTTTACTCATTTAAACTAAAAAGTCATGCCATTGACTTTATACTTAGCATTTTGGAGGGCAATTTTCCTAAAAAATGCTATGATCAAAGTGCTGAGCTTTCCTCCAGCATGACTAGTCTCTTTGCTTTGCTACAGGTGGGCTTCTAGCTTTATTTTCCATTTCATTATTTTTTCCTTCCTTTTCTGTATGTAAAAAGGGGTTACAATACATCAAAGAGCTCCATGCCATTAGGCTTTGAGTTTTCAACCCATCATAAGATATAATTGTTTTCTTACATTGCAATTGGCAAAGGCAAATTTCAGGCTGTTCAAATAGTCATGGTTTATGCTCCAGATCCAGTGTTACGAAAGAAAGCTTTCACTGCTCTAAAGTGGGTAAGCATTTGAGAACTGCCTAAAATGGCTGCTGTTCTTCAATATGCATTTCTCACATGTGCTCTACTATCTATAATGTGGTTTTGTCTGAACTTCTTTAAAACTAAATGTACTCTTGTTCACTAAGTTGTATGAATAAAAAGGTTATTTGGCAGTTGTGATAGCCTGTTGCATTGTTTCAAAATGCGGCCCTCCTAGTGCCTACGCAGGCTAGGGGGGCCTGGGGGCATTGCCTAGGCATGTTGCCAGGAAAAGGCGGCACTTCTGGGCATTGGCTTCCGAGGCACCTAGCTCTGGGCGTGTAGCTAGGGACTGCGCCTGCCCAGGGGCGAAAGGGGTTTTCGTCCTTTTCCTTCTAAATAAGGGGGGAAGAGAGAGGGGGGGGGAGGGGGTTAGGTTCTTATGTGACCTAAACGCCTTTTGTGGCTTTTCAGAGTAAGAAAAACTTGAAAAAAACCACATTTCCCTCAGAATCTTGAGAACTCCAAAAAAAAAAAAAAACTTAGGCTACCCAGATTAGCAGCTGCCTAGGCCCTAGGCAGCCGGGAACCTCCTGGCCGCCTAGGCACCATGCGGAATTTTTTAGAACACAAATCCGTGGTTCATGCTGTTTGTAGCAAAACGATTGTGTTATTCTTTTAAGGGAAAATAATGTATATATCTGTTATAGTTATCGTTATTACGGGATTACCTCCAAGTTTATGTTATTACACCTATAGCTATTTTTTCACCATCCTGACAATATTTTTTTAAAAAGATGGAAATGCTAATTTTCGGTTTTTCAAAAACTGAAAATTTTTATATTTTTGGTTTTGTCAAAAAAATTTAATAATTTTCAGATTTTGAAAATCTGAATTTATATGAAAAGGCAGAATAATCTGAGATTTTCTTTTGCGTTAATTCATTAAGTTTCAAACACTGACCTTGAAAATTGGATATTTCTTGAGAATTAATTAATTCCAGTGATTTTTAAGCAATTCTTTGGACTTTTTCGTGAAGATGCGATTCACATAAGATCACACCAGTAAGCAGCGGTGAAGTTACATTTTTTTTTTCTGGCTAAATTACCTCTTATATTCAAGGATTTTTACAGAACTTCCTCTCTATTTCCAGATGGATTAAAGCTATGTTTCAAAATCCACATTCTGATGTATGAGCATTGGTTCAATGATTTTTTCGGAATTGCCTCTTTATTTGCGGAACGGCTTTGGGTTCATCCTATTTTAGTGAATTGATTTGTGTTTGAAACTTAATGCAGTAACACAAATGCGAAATCTTGGATTATTCTGCCTTTTCATATAAATTCGGATGTTCAAAATTTGAAAATTATTAAATTTTGGTTTTTGAAAAACCGAAAATGGGCATTTCCGTCATTTTTTTAAAAAATTGTCAGGATGATAAAAAATGGATATAAGTCTAATAACGGGAACTTGGAGGTAATCCCTTAATAACGGTAAATAGAATGGATATATACATTATTTTCCCTTCTTTTAACAATTTCAAAGCAATTGACAATAACATGAAGAGAAAGACAATGCACATGATTTATGATTGTGGTGAAAGATATGATAATGATTTGTATCATTGATGTTCTTCTCTGTCCAAGTGACTTTATGAAAAAGTAAATCCCATTCATTTGTTAAAGTTTCTATCAGGTTCTTCGAGAGCTTCCACCTAATCAACGTTTTGACATGTTTAAAGCTCTTTTCACAAACAGCGAGTATCCATCAATGGTAAGATTGAATGTTAGTGATGTTGCTTTATAGGGATATCATTTTTGTCATGGTAAACGTTTTTAATTCTTTCTATCCAGACCGCATTGCTATTAGATCTTGTCAGAGAGGAAGTTTTGGATGAAGCCACTTCCATGAATCGTGAGAAGTATTCTACACAAAATAATGAAAGCATCAAAGGTGATGAGGACTCAGTTCAATGTTCACCCTTTTGCAGTCAGGATGTTCTAGAGCTGGTAGAGTTGGTCTTGAGACCTCCAAAAGGGGGGCCCCCTGAGCTTCCCGAGCAATGTGATGCGGTAATTGCCATCTTGTTTTTGATCTATAAATATGAGTTCTAAGGTTTTGTTCTAGCCAGAGTTCTTTGGATGAATAAATTAGTCCTATTTGCAGTAGTAACAACTTGCATCAAAACAAGTTCCTTTGTTGCATCTGTGGATAATTATTTTACTGTTTTATGGTGGATTGAGTCTACTAACAGAACTAGTAATAATCTGCAATTTTCTTTTGCCTTGCAAAAGTCGTCAATTTTGATATCCTTTCGTTTTCTTCCTTTTTCCTTCTTTATTGAATATTTATACTAGCAGCTATGTTGAGCTTCTTCAATTTATTGCATATTAAATGGAAATGCAAATTGAACAAGAAGTGCGTGACATCACTAGCATGCTTTTGCTATCTGCACCTTGTGCATGGATGGAAATTCTAGCTCCTTACTAGTTTTGATTTTTCCACTCCTTGATGTGGGTGCAGATAGCAAAAACATGTGCACAAAAAGAAACTCTGTAGGAAATTGTACCTACTAAAAAGAAGTATGTGGTATACTTTGCTAGGTATTCTTCTTTATGCATATGGCTCATTTATTCTTGTTTCTAATGATGCAGATCTCATCTGCTCTCAATTTGTACAGATTTCTTGTAATGTTGGAAACATCAGGTGAAGTTAGGGTCTCTTGGTTTTGGAGCTGTATCTAGTTTCTGTTTTGAGTTTTGAAAACAGAGGATTATAAGCTCTGCATGCTTGTGGCACACTTGCTTTGCAAATCTATTTCTGAAGTAATCTTGTTCATGCTTAAACTCTGCAAATTGGCTTTATAATTTTATTTTATTTTCAAAATTAGAGTCACTGAATATTTCTGCATTTAGTTTCTTGGAGAACACACAATATTTCTTCTTTTGATGATGTAAAACACACAATATTTCTTTTTTTGATGATGTAAAACATACAATATTTCATTGGTCCATAACTCCATATTTTCAGAACAAGTTTGTATAGAAATTTAAATGGTGTAGCTCTGTGTTTCTTGTATTGCAGGGAAAGCAAACTACAAAGGTGTGATTTCAAGAAGCAATTTGCAAAAGGCTTACACAGAATGGCTTCTTCCTCTACGAACTCTAGTTTCAGGTACTTTAGCTGAAAATGAGAAGGACCGCAGTGACATTGCTATCAGCATTAGCTGTTCCATAAATCCTGTTGAATTTCTTCTGTATCACTGCCTTGAATTAGTAGAAGACTGCCTAAAACACTCTAGAGCATGATTTAGTTGTATTCATGGGCTTAGAATTCCATAGAAATTTGTTGAAGAAGGGAGCAGTGGCTCTTGCACCATCCTTTGGATGTTCCCTTAAATGTGTATATCATTGAGCAGTGGCTCTTGCACCATCCTTTGGATGTTCCCTTAAATATGTATGTCATCCATTGGAAGATCATCATGATCATCATCATCCTCAGAATATTTTCCCAACTATTCGGATTTGGCTACACGAATCCTGATCCGTCATCCTGTTCTATCAAGGGTCATACCTTCAGTAAGGCTACGTTGGAAGATGAATGAAAACCAAAGTGACTTCTTTCATGCCTCATATGTTATCTCAGGATTCTTTACTCTATTATGGAACTGTGTGGCTTTAGATCATTGTTGCATGTGATTGAAATGGAGAGGTTGTAAGGTTAAGTTTGTAAATGGGTTTGATAGCACATTGTCTTGGGGGGCACTTCGAAGTTCAAACGTTCTTGCCCTGTGTTGATGCTTAATTAGATGGCCCATTAATTAGATGGGTTGGGCTTGTGCATGGGCTTGAATGTGAGCTCATTAGGTGAGGAAACATCACGAATTAATAAATGATCTACAAATCTGCAATTTCAGTTTCAGGCTTAATATTCAATGCGCCTCCTGCTTACTTCGAGAATTTTGAATCCTAAAGAAATATCATGGGTTCTAATCAACGAAGGAAGAATATCTGGTGTTTCTAGCTGATATTCAATTTCACAAAATATCAACGGGCAAGGACATTTTTGCCGATTTACAATTTCTACGCATCTTGTCATTATGGTTTCTTCACTCCATGTAATGGACCTTGCATTTATGTTAGGGTGCGTTGGCATGCGGATGCATCCGTAGCTGTAGAGGTAAGGTGCACCTTCAAATTTTTTCATGGTATGTAATTTTGATGTAAAATCTTCTTAGGATTATCTCAAAATCTATTTTTATATCTAATTATAAAATTTTAAATTTTAAAAATGATTAAAATCAAGTAGATCCATAAACATATGAAAATCTTGAAAATGGACGGTGTAGATAATATGTTGTAAAATTTACTATTTTTGAAACTTAAAATCTTTTTATTTTTCATGGTCATACGTCTCGATGTCGAGATGATCAATCAAAGGTTTTTCAACATTAAAACTATTTTTTCCGATGGATTTTTGACGTGCATTTGTAGTTCTACATTATAAGGTTGCATCTTTATATAAACTTTTTCTTTTGTGTTAACGGGGCCTTTTTCCCTCAATTCAGGACTCGAACGCAGCTAGACACACAAGCACAATTTATTTTTAATTTTGTATACAAATTATATGAATATGAAATTTGGTACGTGCCATCATCTTATTGGGACGCATCTATAAAAAATATTAAAAACAATTTTTTGATAAAATATAATGATTAAAATACCTTTTAAATCTTTTAAAGGTATTTTGTTCATTTTATTTTATTAGAAATATTTTTTTATATTTTTCGCTAGTGCCATTTAAATAGAGGATTGAAGCTCACACATGGCACCACTTTCAAATAAAAAGAGAGGAATGCAAAGGAAAAAAAAAGAAAAGAAAAAAAAAAAGAAAAAGAAAAAGAAAAAGAAAAAGAAAAAGAAAAAGAAAAAGTCCTTTAATTAAGCTACCCTATGACCATGTCCTATACTTCTAGGACTTCTTTTCCCCAGTAACTAACTGTACATGGAAAGCAGAATATTCTTATGAAATGAAACTCATCATGTTTACTGTGATATAATAAAACTAAAGTAGGTATGCTCTTTCTTATACAAGGAAAAACTATGAAAATTTTAAACTTGTCCACTACAAATGGAGTGTCACATCTCCAAGGCACCAGACAAATCTCTCCCTTGGTGGCAAGTTGTGAACGCAGACCACAGGCCAAGGGACAAAATTGCTCTCAAATGCGATATGATGTTTCTAATGTTCATATTTTAATATTTCTGGAGGAACTTTTATGCTCTTTTCATTCTTAGTTAGCCCTAGGATATGGGCCCCTTGCTCTTGTTTAAATAAAAAGTGAGCAATTTGTCATGTTATACGACAGGTTAAGAGACAATGTTAAATGATAAAATAAAATGAAAATTTCAAATGAGATCCTATTTAAATGCGACCAATTCTAAACACATTTATAAGCCTAGGTCGCTCTAAATGAATTTTTCTATTTTGATCCCTGAATTTGTAGCAAAAAAATTAAAACGACCAGTGATGAATTGTCCAAAAACAAAATCTACATAATAGTTTATTTTTGAGATTGAGTAGAATCATTTTTTTCTTTTCGTTTTATTTTTTTCTCTGGATTTATGATTGTATTAGATTCATGATTGTATTGGTGGAGATCCGTGAATTCTAAAATTTCAAGTCAAATTCCATGTCGGAAATGGATTTTTAAAGGAAATCGCAGTTGAATAAGTTCGTCAAATGGACCGAAACCCATTCCTAGTATGAAGAGCTTCAAGTCTCTCTTTTGCACATCTCATACATATTGGAAAAATCAAATGCATCTGGTGTGAATAACCTAAAGCATTTTGTGAAGGTAAGGAATGTCAGTGATGTGAAGGGAAAGTATATATTGTATATTTGGTTAATATGGAAAGTTTATATTTTAATATGTATATTTGGGAAGGGTAGATATAATATCTTGTATTTATGATAAATCTGGATATAATAATTATTTTTATATTTTCTCATTTATAATTTGTCTATAAAAGACAAATCTATATATTCATATGATAAGTCTATATATTCATATAATCAATGAACACAGGGAGTCTCTTCAGAAAAACCTGAGACTTTTTTTACATGGTATCAAAGCCAGATTCATTTTTGTTATGTCCATTCATCATCTGAGCTCGCACTTTTGATCTGAGCTCTCTACCAAGTCGTGTTTCGACTCTCTGACCTGTTTCTCTGTCGAGTCGTGTTTCGACTCTTTGATATGTTTCTTTGACGAGTCGTATTTCAACTATCTGATTTGTTTGATCTCCTTTGCCTCGTCTCGTATCTTCCGAATCCACTGTCTGTCATCAATTTCTGTTAAGCATCTCTTGACAGGTTTTCAATGTGTTTTTATTTTTCTGGCCATCGCATACTCCAACCATTAGTTTTTGCATCTTTTTCTACTTGATTTGATTTATTCTTCATGGATTTAAGCTTCCATTTTCTGTTGGGCCCCAATTTGAGGGTTTGTTCTGCCTCATGCTCTTATATGACAGATTTTTCTGCTCTTCCTCTCGTTGATGCCTATTTGTTTTCCCTCACTAAACGGTAAACAAAGATTTTTGGTTTCAAAAAGACAAATAGAGTTGGTGGTCCATATTGCTCTTGGTGGTCCACTATGTTTATCTGGTCTTACAATTGTTGGTGATACATATTGTTTCTAGTTCGACTGTGATGGACCACGTTTGTAAAATTTTGGCGACCAATTTTCTTTATTAAAAAAAAGAAAATGTGTGTTTGCCCTTATGAAGAGTAAGCCTTGTCTTTGAAAAACAAATAAGCCATTTGCCCAATCCCAATCATATCTGTTAGTGAACCCCTCTTAAAGTTTGTCTTGAAAAGAAGAAGAAGAAGAAAAATCTGAAACACCCCAAAAAAAACAGTAGTATGAAACACCCTAAAAAGTGTGAGATCTGAATCGCTCTAAAATGTCACCCTACTACTCTGATATGATATTGTCATTGCTATGAAACCATTATGAAAAATCAATCCCAAAAAAAAAACAAAAAAATCGTACACTATTTTGATTTTATCTTTGCTCTATCTCTTCTTCTTTGTAAGATCAAGTCTGTTACTCTATTACTCGATCTTGTTATTTGACTATCTGAAAATCGACCCAAAAAGAAGAAAAAACCTTTGAAATTTTCTTGTATAATCGAGTTTGTTGCCATGTTACTTGATCATGTATGTTCTAGTTTGCGAGCTGTTGAATTCGTCTCGGATCCACATTGATTTATGTTAGCTCTTCCAAGTGCATGTTATTTTCTCAGCTATCTCACTGTTTTGTCTAGAATTTCTATTTGATTGATTGAGCCTACTTTGATATGGCCCTTAATTCCTGAAACCATATATTCTTGAGGCTTGTTGATTTGCCGCTGCTTTCTGTACTTATTGATCAAGCAATTTGATTGATTGAGCCTACTCTGATATGGCCCTCAATTCCTGAAACCATATGTTCTTGAGACTTGTTGATTTGCCGCTGCTTTCTGTACTTATTGTTCAAGCAATTTGAGCATGGCAATCATATCTACTGGTCATGCTATACATCTGAAGATCCAACTACTAATTTCTACAATTAATATTCAAACTCCAGCTGCTCTCTTTCATAGCATCTTGAGTTTGAGGGGAAGTGTGAAAGCAAAATATATATTGTATATTCGGTTAATATGGAAGGTGTATATTTTAATCTGTATATTGTATATTTGGGAAGGGCAGATACAGTATCTTGTACTTATGGTAAGTCCGGGTATGGTATAGGAATATGCGATTTATTTTTATATTTTCTCATATGTAATTTGTCTCTAAAAGATAAGTTTATATATTCATATAATCAATGGACACATGTGTCTCTTCATAGAAACTTGAGACTTTTGTCATCTAATCGAACCTCAAAATTTACGGCCAATGTGCATCTTGTCTCTAAACCATTGAACTGAAACAATATTTTTGTTCGATTCCATTATGATGTAAAAGTGCGAATGTGGAAAGCCCCCACTGTAGGTAAGCCATTGCCACTACTAATCAATGAGACAAAGGAATCTCTCTCTCTTCCAATTTTCAACCGGTTGCGTGCTGTTGTTGGAGCAGAGGTTTAAGTCTTTGACTTAGGCCTCGAAACCGAAACAGACCCTGCGTTAGGGGATAAGCTAAAGTAGGGTTTGTTTTGATTTGGCCCTTTTTCGGCTTGTTTGGCATCGTCTATAGCCTACATAGAAGCGCATTTTTAAGTTTTTCATTTTTTATTTATGTATATTTCTGATGCTTTCCCGGTAGTCCATTGAAGAGCCAAAGCACTTTTACTCCATTGCCAAACCGAAGTAGGCTCCCAAGCTAAATTGACAACACTGGTCTTGAAACTTCCAATAAAATTTTCCGCAATTTAATTTCTCTTACACGTTTTGGTTTGTGTCCCATAAAAAAATACCTTCACGTGGTTAGGTGTGATAATATTTTCATACCAATCGGTTCCAATGCATCTTTTCACATCAATTGACAGTTAATTGGTGTGAAAATATTCCCTCACTTAATCACATGAGAGAATTTTTCACATTGAAAAATATTTTCACATGAACCAAATGTGATCTAAAATTTTCTGCGAAATTAGTTAGCTGAATTTTCCGGTGCTTTATGGGTGCCTCGAGTCCA